AGGTGGTGGTGATGGTGAAGGTGGTGGTGATGATGGTGATGATGGTGGTGATGATGGTGGTGGTGATGATGGTGATGATGATGATGGTGATGTGATGATGGTGATGGTGATGGTGGTGGTGGTGATGATGGTGATGGTGGTGATGGTGCTGATGGTGTTGGTCGTGGTGGTGGTGGCGTACATGGTTCTCTGTGTGGGGAGTTAGCGGTGGTGTGCTGTGATGTGTGTGTGCACACCAGCACGGTCCCCTGCGAACCGTCTTCCAGTGGTGGCTGGGTGTGGTTCACAGCCTCACGTGGCTCGCCCCTCACAGGAAGTACTGACTTCAGGCTCCTAGGTTCTCGTTCAGCTTTGGGGTCACGGAAGGGGAATTTCCTTACAGCTCCACTTCTGGCACCGTTCGGTCTCACAAGCTGACGAGCCTTCCCATGCCCTGGCTCGCTCGCTGAGCAAACGCGCTAGCGGGGTGCCGTCTGCAGAGACGCTGGGAAGACGACGGCCTGTGATGACAGCCTCTGAAAGCACTGTCCGGACACAGTGTCGGAAGTGGGTGCCGTCCCCGCCGACGCCGGAGAAGTGTCAAATCTACAAAAGGCCTTCGAAACCGTTTCCCTTGGAAACCCGCCCTAGACCCTTCCCGACTCTACGCAAATGCGCTTTATTTAGAACTCGATTTTACAGGGTCGTAAATTCTCTCCTGCACAGCGGAAGCTCCTGAACGATGAAACCCGTTTCACAGGCCCCACGGGGACTTTCACCGTCCTGTCGATGGCGTCAGAGGCGACACTTCATTGCTTTAAGCAGAGGTTCTGTGTCATCGGGTTTCGGATCTGCGATGACCTGTCCTCCACTTTTGCCTCGTCCTTGCTGTCCCGTCCAGCTCATCTTCTGGGCCGTGTCCACACACGCACCCCGTCGACAGAGCCCTTTGGGCAGACAACTCTCAATTTACCTATAAATCATGGAGAGGTGCTAAATCAACGGTCCCTTTTAATAATTATTCCGTGAGATTACTTAATTTTCTTACAATTTCCTCCCTGACTAGCTGCTCTAGAAAGGTCGAAAGGACTGAGCCTCTCGGAATGTGTCCAGCCGTGAGTGTCCCTTGCTTGTTTTAATATTAACCTGGGGAAATGAGCCTAATTCTCTAGTCTTCATTTATTGACAGCTGTATTTTTTTTTTTTTTTTAGCTTTCAATATCTTTCTGAATTAATTTCTCCAGTAAGTCTTACTTTTAAGGGAGAAAAATCCAGCATGCTATTCTAACACCGACTTTGTTTGACGCATGTGTGCTGCGTCAAGTGGGCTTAGACCTCGACAGAGTCCCAGGAAAGTCCTTGAAATCGTTGTGAATATGGCATCGCCCATGGAGAGACAAACCGTTTGTTTTCCCTAAAGCAATCTTTTCTTTTCTTTTCTTTCTTTCTTTTTTTTTTTTAACCCTGAGCGTTTGTTTCTAAAGAGCGACATGCAAATGACAACCGTAGATAACGGGACTTCTGTTCCCCGCCAGGCAGAGCAGCCAAGCAGTGAGCGGACTTCACCATCTCACTGGTTCCCCGGCCTGTGAGATGGGTGACGCTGGCCTTTCTGTGAACGGGGATCTGAAATGTAAAGTGACCAGCGACGAGGGCTTTCCCACAGCCACAGGACAGACATGTCGTCCTCACCCCCCTTGTCCCTCCAAGCAGCCTCCTGGCCCTGGGCCGGCCTCTTTCCTCTCCATCACCCGCACTCGGGGGAGCAGAGTCACACGTGTGCATGCTGATGGCGCCAAGAGCTTCCCACGGGCTCCCAACACCGTCCTCCAGGAAATAACCAGCAAGAGAAAGACCCGGACCTGGGAGTCAGGACGCCAGGGCTGGGCCCCCAGCAGGTGGTGTCGACGACAAACTCACAAATGTGACAGCGAAGAGTGAAAAGCCTCTGGACTCGGGGTTGGGGACTTTGGAAGGAAGCCGACCATTCGGCATTCATGGGCATGTTTTTGAGGAAAATCCTCGCTGCCAAGGGCCTTCGGTTTACAGAGCATGAGATAATAAACAAAGAAAACGCCTTGACCTTCCTCAGTCGCGTCTCGGGCAGGTCCCAGCCATTAACGCAAACTCGCGGGCTCCGACGCCAACTTTCTTGTTCCCAGTGCAAAAGGGCTGGGTCGCGGATAATAGGTCTACGCACACACTGTCTGGAGCAGGTGTGTCCCCACGTCTCCGGGCGACGCTGATGTCAGCCCAGCTCCGTGCCCAAGGCCCTGGGCTGTGCCGGGCAAGGCCATCGGGATGAAACGACAAAGGGGCTCTGTGCGCCCTGGGGCCGGGGGAGGTGGGAGCTGACCCCTGACCCCTTCGTTAGAGGTCCGGTCGGGGACTGTCCACCGCTCACAGCCGGGCACACACTCTGGACGGCCTCTCCAAGGCTGAGTTTCTCTTGGCCTTTACCCGCCCTGCTCTGTAACCAAACACCAACATCACAGAGTTAGCCTTTCTGCTTGTTTTTCACCGAAAATGCTCTGGGAAACATTCTAAACACTGGAATTTGAAAAGAAGGAAAAACTGTTCTTAACTAGTGCTCCACCCCGGGGAGCTGGCTCCGGATTCCGGGTTGGCCCACGCCCTCCGGCCGGCGGCCACTTCCACCGCCGCTCACTGCAGGCCGGCGCTGGGCCAAGCGACTTCTCGTGCTTTTCTCTCATTTGTATTCACAAAAATCCTATGAGGTTTTCATTGTTATCATTTAACCGATGAAAACAGATTCAGAAAAGTGACGTGAAATGCCACAGGTTGTGGGCCTGGCTGCCGGTGGGGCCGAGGGCCTAGGAGGGACAGAGGGGTCCTGCCGTTTGGACCGCGGCCCAGCTCTGCAGGACAGGGCTGGTGAGAGACAGCCCCTCAGTGATGGGGAACGAAGGGACAGCTCCGACGGCCACGTCACAGGGGCCTCGGTGATCTTCGTCCTCTCCATCGGAAGCACACAGGACGCTAGTCACCGCCCCCGTCGGGCACTCGATTAGCGAAAGGGCGATTTTTCTCATTGTTTCGTATGCTTATTATATCTGTCAACTTTTGAGTGTTATAATAATCGTGACTTCTTTTCTAAACAATTTTTCTCATTTATACTTCGCTTCGTGACCACGTTTTGTATTCTTTTTCCTAAAGACGCCCCAAGTCATTTCGGCTTCAGGCCCTCAAATCCTTGAACGTCTCCTCCTCACGAAAAGCTGGAGCCAGGAGGCCTGGAGGGGTGGGGGGGGCACAGGGGAAGACCCCAGGCTCCAGCAGCCATCGAGGCAAATGTAATGTGAGGTGGGGTCATGGCCACCACATGACCCCATGAAGAGTTTTAAGAGCAAAAAGGATTAAAAAAAGACTTTTAGCCGCTGCTGTGAGTTTGGAATTTCAGGGAGTGGCAGAGATGTCAAATAAGAATTTTAAGGAGTGCCGCTGGAATCCGCTTGTGCTTCTGCCCTGCGGGGGTGCGTGTGTGTGTGTGTGTGTGTGTGTGTGTGTGTGTGCTGGCTGGAGGAGGAGGGGGTGGGAGGCCAAGAAAGACAGAAGTCAGAACCCGAGTATTTAAAAAAATTTTTTTTTTTTTTGTCAGCAGCAAGACTGTGTTACTTCAAGGTCACCTTAAACAGAGATTGGACCCCGTGGAGCCTGGGCGTTTCTTCCGGTCACTCGGTGACGGGGGGGTCAGGGACTGCCCTGTCCTTTGCTGGGCTCCCTGACCCTGTGGACTGCCTGGCTCGACCCCGTCTCTGTCACTGTGCTGGTCCTCAGGGGCGTTCCTCGATCCTCTCTCTCAGAGTCACTCAGGGCACCTCCAAGGTGTCTGGCTGGCCCTGGAGCTGAGTCCCAGAGGTGAGGGCTGTGCCAGGTCCCACCACATTCCAGCCTCAGGGAGTGGGGGCGGAGGGGCAACAGAGATGGAAGGAAGGAAGGGAGGGAGGGAGGGAGAGGGAAAGTGGATGCAGAGCTTTCTAGAACAGAGGCAAGAAGGTAGAAGGGACAGACTGTAGGACTTCAGCTTTAAGGTGGCAAACTGTCAGCCACGGGGGTCTGAGCCCTCGGCCACATGTGCTGCCCGTGCTCGGAAAGCGTTAGCGATGTGCCGCCCCCTGCCCCCTCGGCCGCAGACCCTGCCGTTGCGGGGCAGCCTCCCCTGACGCCCCGTCGAGTTTTCTGCTCCCAGTTGTTAGCTGGCGGTTTTCTAGGCTGAACTGCATTTTTGCAGCTACTGGAGTCTACGTTCGACCTGAGCTTTCGCTCAGCCTTCGCGCCGTGTATGGGAGAAATCCAGCAAAAATGGACTAACTCCGGCTTTCCACCTCCGTCAGGCGGTGCTGCAGGTGGTGGCTGACGGCGGTGGTCACGCCACGTCCACTGCGTCGTGAGCCGGGCCGAGCCCTGCGTTTGCTCCCGCTTTGCCCAACCTGTCCTGCGCTGTGCTGCTTCCTGCCTCGTGGGGACACCGCACGACAGCTCCTGTTTATCCCCTCTTAAACGGTGCTTTTGATGATCACGATAAATTCCTTATTCTGACTCATAATCGGGCCCTGAAAATATACGGCCTACGAACCCAATGAACTCCGGAAAGACGTGACAATAATCCATGTCCCCCTCAGCTGCGCTTTCAAAGGTCTGAAAATATTAAATGGAAAATTCTAGAACTAAACAACTCATAGGTTTTAAATCGCCCACTGTTTTGAGTCGCGCGGTGAAATCCCTCGACGCCCGCTCTGCCCCGCTTGGGATGTCACTCATCCC